GAGAAAGTTTATACTATTTCAATGTAGATGACATTCGAATAGATATCTTTTTATCGTATCATATTCTGCATTATATCAAAGCTACAAGCAAATACAAATAATGAGATATTCATCAAACGTAAAAAAACATCTTATACATTGAAATTGAAAAGCGAAATATTCTGCATGCGATACAAGCACATGATGCTATACATGTGATTTATCGAGGGGAGAAGGGGTCCTGAAGGAAACAAATATTGGCCAATATCTAAACTGAGATGATCTAAACGGTGATAAACCGTCCACTACAGTTGTGATTAAAAATAATAATATTCCATTTCAATGTATTTATCATTAATAAATAGAATGCTAAAAAATATGTACATAATAGAATTACCTCAGTAAATTTAAGGTTTATACTGTGATGTCATAAATTTTGTTTATTTTAACACTTTTGAAAGTGACCAAGTGGGTTAAACTGAGATGGCTCTTTGACATTGAATGAATTTTTCTACGGAATACCTTGAAAATACATATGTAGATTCATTATCTAGAGAACTATTTCTAGTTGACAGTCAAATGAACGTACATGATCTGGAATATTAAACAGACATACAGTAACGACGTAGAACTTCGTACGTACGTACATCAGTTCGAGTTGCCATACCACATTAGCACAGAGATACAGTTGTCGATCCAAATCCCACACTGGTAGAGGTAGTAAGAGTGTAAGCAGTAATCCGAAAGTTTAGGGTTTAAAGATATTATTCAAGGAGTATAATTCCGTGAAATAAATTTGGAAAGAGAAAAAAGGAACATAAAAGATTCAAAAACCAGAATTTAGGGAAACACGAAGAATGAATGCACCTTCGCCATTGCAAAAGATCTTGAGTCATGTCATTCAAGGTCTCTAACCATCGGTTGCTATCGTCTTGCGGATCCCAACCAGGTAATCTGCACCTAACAACATGGCTCACTCCACTTGTCAGCGACTTCATGGATTTGGTCTGGCCATCCCTAGCTTTCTTCCAACCTACCAGTACATCATAAGACATTGCACGTCGGAGCAGTCGGTGTTTGGGCATACGTAATATGTGTTCCAGCCATCTCAACTAATGAAGTTTCACCACTTCATCAAACGATTTGCCATCCTTACCTAGTACCCGTTTCCTAACAACTACATTACTTACCCGGTGGTCCCAGGATATACGAGCAATGCTTCGAAGACACCTGTGATCAAATACTAGTAGCCTACGAATATCCTCTACTCTTATCGGCCATGTTTCACTGCCATAAAGTAGGACGGAACGAACTGCTGCACAGTAAACACGTCCTTTAGTTGCTAGACGGATATCTCGCCTACGCCATAAATGACGCAAGTTGGCAAAAGCTAGACGAGCCTTCTGTATCCGTGCTGAGATTTCGTCACACACCAAACCACAAGGGCTGATGAGACTCCCAAGATAAGTGAAGCGGTCAACGCGGTCAACTACTTCACTCCCTATCATTAGTTCAGGTGTCGATGCAACCCAATCCTGAAGTAACATTTTGCACTTCGAGGGAGAGAATCGCATCCCGAACATGTCTGCGTAGTTGCTTACAGTTGTCAGAAGACTCTGCATTTTGTCAGCATCTTCACCAAATAGAACTATTCTAAGTCAACAAGTGAGTCTCCCAGTAAAAGTTCAACAATTGGAGATTTAAAGGATGAAAGTGTTATCTTTAGAAGTATGTCAACGACAAATTTAAACAAGAATGGGGAGAGTGGACAGCCCTGACGAACACCACTTGAGGTATTATTGAAGCTAATATTTTAGGCACTATATTAGTCACAATGTTCCCTCTGTGATTGTCACAAGAGAACTTTATCCTTTCTTATAGACTGGTACAATCAGTGATTCGAACCAGTCAGATGGAATTACGTCCAGTTTCCAGATTCTACCTAAGACAGTCAATTTCACTGCTAGTACTGGACCACCATCCTTAAAAATCTCAGGGGTCAACCGTCCTGGACCTGCTGCCCTACCTCTCTTCAGATTTCCTATGGCTTTTTCAACCTCGTAAAGACTTGGTGGACTTACAATAACTTACCATTCTAGAATATTAACAAATTTTCAATTGCTTATACCACTATGAAATGAGGTTTATCTAAGATATTCCCAGTCAAGTTAATAAAATTCCATCAATTAGCCAGTCAGAGTCATATATTATGTTATAAGCAATGCAATTTGTGACAAAAATATCTACATAAGACTGTAACTACTTAAAAATTTTAATATTATAATGATGGTACTCAGAAACGTTCATCAACTGAGAAAATATCAACAATTTTAAATTGTATACAAATTAAGCCATTAAACACTTTACTTGAAAACGTAACATTAATGATTTCTAGAAATGCTTATTACAACAAAGCAAACAGTAAGATAATAATATTGAAGCCTAATTGTTTTCTATGGTGTTAATTAATATTTCTAAAACATAAATCTACTTTGAAAGCAGTCTACGTAATCAGTTTAATTTAGTTGTAAAGTAACAAGCAACATTACTAAAATTATATTTATCTTAACATATTATAATGTGAATAAAAATTAAACCCCTGATATATTGCATACCTTAACAAAACACTATTACACTCTATACAATGATCAAACTGGCACATTTCTAAATCCACAAACAACACGAATTTTCAAGGTTAGAATCCAGTGAGATCTATTCTACTTATGTGACCTGATTTTTTTCTATTGTTGTTCCAGTTGACTATGTATATAACTACAATATTTAATGTCATTGTTGAAAATTCATTAGTGACTAGCTTCAAGATGAGTTTTTAAATCTAACCTTTGATGTATGAAATTAGTCATAACATTGAATAAGACAGTCATTCAACAATAATAATGAATGAATAAACGAAGTAAGAAATGCATAACATAGAATAAAACCTTAGTATTTCAACTTTTGAATACTTTTCATAATAAGTAAAAGTCTGCAGTTACAATGAAGTAAGTCTACAATATTTACTTACTTCATGAACTGAAAATACACTTTTGTAAGAATCAACTATAAAATAAAAATTTAACTGATAATCACATTTACAATTAGCTAAAATTAAAAAAAGTTAGCCTGATGATCCATTTTATATTTCTTTTAATCTACCTTGGTATTATTAATTGAGATTTTATCATAAATTATAGTATAAATATTATCAGAAGGGGGTTTTGTTGAGATTTTAGTAATTTTATAGTTGAAATAATGAATCAATTAAAGCTAGACCACCATGGAAAACTTGAAAGCACTGAACGGCCATTATTGTGGGACTTCTTAGCAGTGTGTATCCATGGTTCCGCCTTGCCAGATTCGAACTCAGGACCTCTCAGTCTCGCGAGCCAACATTTAACCTCTAAACTACTTAGGCAGCATCCAACGGTATTATTGTCTAACTTCAACTTATCCACGAAATTGAGCGACACATCCACCATTGTCTTCAGTGAGTTACTATCTCACAACGAACCCGGTTGAACTCCACTGGTCACTACTTCTCACTAGAACTCCAGCAAATACCTCTTGGAGTCAGTCACTAGTGAGCATATGTTGATTAATATCAGAAATGGGGTTGTTTTGGATATTGTTATTACCTTATTTAATATTCTGATTTTTTTTCGAGATAAATTAATTTAGTACATAAATATATATGTAATTAAGGTTTATAATTAAAATGTATCTATCATATATAGACATATATAATTCTGATAAAATGAATCTTCTCAGGTGGTTTCTAATTATTCACCAATATTAATGTTTTCTAATACTAAATAAAAGTCAATTAATTGTATTAGCTAATAATATAAACAACTGAATACTACTTACTTATATGGATACATTAAGTCATAATTGAGATCACATTATGAAAAATAGTTTGTTTTCTTTTCATTGATATTATTATTATATCAATTAGAGATAATAGAAAATGATTAACATAGTAACTTATATTGAATATTCATTCATTTAATCTAATTAATTCGGTTCACATTAACATAAAGTATTGTATGTAGTTCAAGGTTATAAGTTGCCTTTTTTTAATTTTTTTTTCCACTTAGTTTCTAATATATTTTAATGATTTGCGAGAAACTGATTATTATTAGGTATACAGTTTGCTTTTAACTTAGTATCGAATATACCTGAAACATTTTATTTCTATTCTATAAAAGGTTTGACTTAATAAGTAAGTAATAACACTCTTGGGTGAAAAGTTCATACTACTTAGTAACATTAATAAACATATGTAATAATAAATTAGTTATATATTAATCATCTGAATTCAATTACTTAATATTACAGTACAGCCATTGTCTTATATCATTGATTAATATTCTACTCATTACTTACTAAACTTACTTACGTCTGTTACCCCCAATGGATCATGGGCCGCAGACCAGCATTCTACTCATGATTACTATTAATTGCGGTTTTTGAAATCAAGTCATTCATGATAGACGTATGTTTATACATACTAATTCAATATAACATTCTACTAAAGTAACATATTCACAATATGATTTAATAATAAGCAAAAAAAACGTGTAAATGATATAAACTAACTGTTTTAGGCTATTCAATTACTAATATAGACTAAGTCTAATTTTTGCAAGCATTATATAATTTTAAGTCTAGAAAGATAATCACCTTAGTCACTAAATCTTTTATAAATATCTCTAGATTTGATTGAAAATATTCATTTCATAAATTTGAAAATAAAATCACCGGAAATTTAGTACTTACAAGATAATAGCAATTATATAAAATTCATGAACATATATTTATTTTAATAGTTGAAATCATGAGTCAATTGAAGCTAGACCATCATAGAAAACCTGGAAGCACTGGACGGCCGTTTCCTCCTATTGTGGGGCTCCTTAGCAGTGCATATCGATGATCTCGCCTCACGAGATTCGAACATAGGACCTGTCGGTTTTGCGCACGAACGCTCAATCTCTAGACCATGATGGTCTAGCTTCGATTGACTCATGATCTCAACCATAATATCCAAAAAAATCCCTTCTGATATATTTATTTATATACTATGGATATATTATTAGAAAGAAAAATTATTATTACTATGACTCATTTATACATTTTCTGTTGTTAACATTACAATACAGTTCATTACATAATAATTTACTGTAAATAAGTTCCTAAATAGAACTGTGTATCATAATTACTCATTATTAAACTTCAGATATATTCAGATATCAAAATGAAATGATTGTCATTCATATGAATATAATGGTAATGTTTCCAATGAACAGATATAGAGTATCTATAGATCATTGAACTTTTTTGTCAAATGCATAGAAAAAACAAACAAACATTTCTTTTTTGGATTAATAAATTGTTTATATTAAAGAGATAATGTTTGTGACATTTTACATTGATTATAAAAATAATAAATATTCATCCATACATTTATTGTGCTTGGTATAAGGTATAAAAAAAAAGTATACACCGTCGAAACTGAAATGAGTAGTTTTGTCATACTTAAAAGTGGACATATTTGAATACTTGATAGTGTTTTTTCGGGGGTGGGAGGTTTGTTCATATGACGTAGATAATAATATTGATTTCATTTCTTGGATTTATTAAACACTTAATGAAATATTTGATTTAACTTTCACACGTTGTCCGTCTACACCTAGAACGGTACGACTTAGACCAGGCGATGGACGTCTTCGAATTTTTGTAGGTAACAAATTTTCATTTGTGGAAGAGAATGATACAGCAGAATTCCTTAGTTTCTTTTGTGTAAAACTTGTTTTACATACAGTGTTTAACGAATGTTTACTGTTAGACATGTATGTTGAACGTTTACCATTTTGTAAGTGTGTACTTTGATCCATATCTGCATCAGTATCTCGTGATAAATAAGATTGATTTCTGCAACAACATTGAAATATTCGACAAAATTCATGACGAAATTGTTTACTTGTTGCTAAATAAATTGGAAATTTAGCTGCATAATGTGTCATCGCAAAACATTCGATCAATACACGCACTGTAAAGAAACGAAAATAAGTTGTCCAACCAGGATCATTACGTATTTGTTCATCACTTAAATATTCATTACCAGTTGGTAAACGTTTATGAATTACTACGGCTATTGCTACAGATAGATGTGCAATAATAAGATAAAATGATGTACATAACAATGTCAATGTACTTGAACGTGCTCCTTTACTTATCGGTTGTGAAGTTTGATTACGATCACAGTTTATGTTTGAATTGCCATTTACTGTTGTTACAATTAAAGTATTTCGTTTTGATTTAATACTTTGTCGTAATACTCCAATGACTAATATATTTAATACAAGACAAGTAATTGGTAAACAGAAAAAATATAGTGATTCTGTGATAAAAGTCCAATTCGTATATAAACTAAATCCAATAGAATTAGGATCTTCAACTGATGGTCTAGTAGTGCATACACCATTATTATAAGCATATACAAATGCTTGAACACTAGCTGTAATCAAACAAAATACAAACATAATTGCAATAAATTTAAAAGCACTTTTTACTGTGGAACGCATTACACTTCTTTGTGAACGGAATGGATGACATATTGCTAAATATCTTTCTAATGTGAATGTAAACGCCAATGTAGGACTTAGATATTGTATTAAATAATTTATAACAGGGAATGTTTCACAAATTACCGGATGATCAAGTACACCGAGTTGCCATGCCACATGTAAATACCAATTTAAATGTATAATAAAAAAACATAAATCCACAACACCAAGACTAGCTTGATAAACTGCAGCAGCTGCACTACCACCACGTCTCATTGGACGACTACTCCATACAATAATACTGAATATACTTCCAGGAAAACCAAGTATAGCCCATAATGGAAAATTTGCTCTTTCTACTATAGTTAAATGTGGTGCAAATGTTTTAAATAATAAAAGATCACTATCATTATAACGTTCCCAAACAGATATATTACTGATTTTATATTCCATAATTAAACTTTCGAAAATACTGAAACCATATACCTATTCATCAGTTCTATAATGTTCCAAATTCTTGATAATATTTGTCAAATAAATTTTCATACCTTATTCATCATTTCATCTTTTGCAAACTTTTTGTAATTGTATATTATTATGAAATAACCAATCAAATAATAGAATATTAAACAAATTAAAAACGTTATTCCTTTAAAAGTTCATTCGCCTTCATTCTAATTGGTCTGATTTTTTATTTATTTCATCACACCATCTTCTTAAATGCACCACTTGTATACTCTTATAGACAGCTTCATTTTATAATATTCTACTTATGTAGTTAGAATGGGGTAATTTTATTTTCAATGTTTATGTATACCAATCGAGTACAATAAATGGAATGTGAATGTCAGTTTAAGAATGTGAATTCAGATTGATTATGATCATGCTCAAATTTAGATTTTAAAATATTATTACTTTCAAAAGTGATGTAAAGCTAATCCTGTGTATACAAACAATTTAGATATCAAAATAAACTTTCAGCTATAGTATTAAACATGATTAAAAAGGATAGATGTTAGATCATAAGAACCACTTCGTCAATATATATTTGTTAAAAAGGTGAAGTCTGTTAGTATGTCTAGATTAATCATATAATTATCAAACGACCATCAATAAAATAATTCATATACTTACTTGCTTTACTTACTTACGCTTGTTATCCCCAATGGAGCATAGGCCGCCGACCAGCATTCTCCAACCCACTCTGTCCTGAGCCTTTCTTTCTAGTTCTATCCAATTCTCCTCATGTCCGTCTCCATTTCTCGGCGTAATATGCTCTTTGGTCTTCTTCCTTTCCTTTGGCCACTCTTTTCTGGGCTTTCCTTTCTAGTTCTATCATATTTTCGTTCACTCGTCTCATGTCTGTCTCCACTTCTCGGCGTAATGTGTTCTTTGGTCTTCCTCTTCTCCTTTGACCTTCAGGATTCCATGTGAGGGCTTGTTTTGGGTACACTCCTCAATATGTGTCCTATTCACTTCCGGCGCTTCCTCCTGATTTCTTCCTCCGCTGGAATCTGGTTTGTTGTCTCCCACAGTAACTTGTTGCTGATAGTGTCTGGCCATCGGATCCGAAGTATCTTGCGTAGACAACTGTTAATAAACACTTGTATCTTCTGGATAATGGCTTTCGTAGTACTCCACGTCTCCGCCCCATACAATAGAACTGTCTTCACATTTGTATTGAAAATTCTAACCTTGGTGTTGGTTGACAATTGTTTTGAGCTCCAGATGTTTTTCAGTTGTAAGTATGCTGCTCTTGCTTTGCCGATCCGCGCCCTCACATCTGCACCAGATCCACCGTGTTCATCAATGATGCTGCCCAGAATTCATATACACGACATAAGTAAAAACCTGTAATATATCCAAAGATTATATTGTGATTCTTTATCAAAATTCCACTTGTTACTTCTGTTGATCTATACAAACTATTTTATCTGTACCCGATTTTCTAATTATGAATAAATCAGATATCCTTTTTGGCTCCTTGAGTTTAATATTTAATCAAAGATCTGACGTTGAATTGGGAATCTTTCACTATGGTCAATCGAAAGTATAAACTATAGTCGCTCATTGGCGATTTAGCACAAATTTAACAATAGTCATTATCACACTAAAAAACACAAATAGAAAACAACTGAAAGGAAAAAGTAATGTTTGTCTGTCAAGTAGGCTGGTAAACGAAAATATATAATGATAACTATTATTATGACCGCTTTCTTCAGTATAGTATATTTAGTAAAATATAGATAAACTCTTACTATCGGTATGCAGAGTAAACGCATCCTGCTATCTCAATTATTAAAATATACACACTATCGTCTCATTTTTTATGGGATTAGTTTTATTGATTAAAATATTTCTGATACTGAGAAGGAAGTAATTAAAACTTTTACAGTCATTTATATCTTAAAAATCTTAGTTCAGCATAGAAGTTAGGTTCCTTTGCACAATCTACAAACAAGCGAACCCATTTCACATGTTCTGTTTTATAGGACATCTCAAATGTTTATTTGCTGCTAAATTGTCATTCCTATTACTTTTATTAAATAAGACAGATTGTTTTGTTCTACTTAACAGAAAATTGAACACTCGTAATTCCATATAGTACATCTGACCTGTTTATATAATGAAAATTCCACAGTTCCATTATTGTGTTGAGAATGGAATTTTTCAACATTCTGAAAGTGTATTCTCTAATTGGCAGCATCCTCACGTTATATATTAATAAGGCACTCAAGCACACACGTTATAACACCATTTTAAGTATATTATGTAAGCTGACATCCATAATAAGTCTTTTACCTGAAGGGTGGTAATTGATATTTTCTAGTTCACCAGAAATTATATACAAAGTATCAAACAACTTAGTATGAAATAATCTATGTTTAACTCATGAACATCAAAACAGACAAGCAATTTAACCAATTATCCTTTTTGGCATCTCAAAGAAACTAATTTAATAAATCAAATTCATCGAATTCATTTTCTACAACGGATGATTGCAATGATTAAATTACAAGTGAAGAGATTGTCTGATAAGTTTATATTCCCAAAAGATAATAGGGTTAAAATTATATTAAGAAGCCATTCAGTATCAAGTAATATTGTCTTTCTAGTCACATGCCCCTATTTCTTTCATACATACATTAACTTTTTACCATACAATACGAAAATTGATTTCATCTTCTTTAATTCCCTGCTCGATGATCAATTCAGCATTTGACTCGCTTATCAATGATTACGTAATCTACCACTGATCCAACCTAAATTATATAGTTGATCAGACACAAATTTATCATGTTATTTTCAATAATTCTCAAATTACATCATTAAGAAGTCACTATTACATTATCGGATAATTTTAAATTTATAAAACATTCCTCCAATTTTAAAAAAATCTTGCTATTATCCAATTACGTTATTAATTCTAAACGGTATATAATTTCGAAGAACCAATATGAGAAACTATTTTGAAAGTATTTCTGAATATAATGTGTATTTTTTTAAAAGTCTATATGGTATCATCAATCAATCTTTGGAAACGTAGAGTGATTTCTTTGAAAGATAACATTGTTTTTTATAACATTATCTTAGTATTAAACATCTCAACTGACTATACTACCAGTAAATATAAGTTGATAGGAATTTTAGAAGTTACAGATTTTAGTTAGACATTTATTTATTTTCCAGTAGATGCTAATACAACTGAGAATATGACTTCCAAATTTGCCCTCAAACTTGCTGCTTTCAACTTTATTACTCTCTGTTTGACCCGGCTGACATGACAACATCTCACGGAATGATTGTTCTAAACAATACAACTCGGGTAGATAATCGCATGACTCAAACCTCATCACCATTATATGGTAGTTACTCTGATTAAGATAATTCTTTTTTTCAACATAAACTCAGCTGATAATTCAAATGTCTTCAGTTTTTGATACCATATTCCTTTGAAAAAAATAATTTTATTTCCCTACAGCATTCCACTTATTGCTAATGAAACAATAGTAAAAGAAAAATAAGAAACTCTTTCAACTAAACGGAATTTCTACTTAAATTTCTAAGTTTCTATTTATTTATTTCCTTAAATGAAACGTAACGAGTTATTCAGTATCACGTACACTTTGAATTTAATGTTTAGTATTTCAGTTTTACTTTTGTATTAGTAATTTTAGTCAACTGCATAAAGTATAAGACTTAAAAAATTTCTGACATCTATAATTAAGATTCTTATTCAGTTTTACTGAAATTCATCATGAGTCAATTGGAGCTAGGCCATCATAGAAAACCTGAAAGCAATGGAAGACCGTTGTCCTATCGTGGGACTCCTCAGCAGTGCGCATCCATGATCCCACCTCACGAGATTCGAAACCAGTACCTATCAGTCTAGCGTGTGAATGCCCAACGTCCAGACCACTGAGCTTTCCGGCATCGAACGGTGTTAATGTCTAACTTCAACCAGTCCATGAAATTTAGCAACCGTCCATCATTGTGTTCAATAAGTTACTATCTCACAACGGACCCAGTTGAACTTCACTGGTTACTGCTTCTCACTTGAACTCCAGGAAATACTTCAAGCTTTAATTGACTAATGGTTTCAACTATGAAATTACTAAGATCTCCACAAAACCTCAAATTCATCAGCATGTTGAACAGACCTTTCATTGTTATTACATAATAAATAGGGATGTGAGGGTGAATTCACATTTTACTTTTTTTTGGTGTAATATTTTATAAAATCAGTTGTATTTCCAGTGTAACATTTTAGTCAGTACAATATTCAGTATATATTTTTCAGTAGATCATTAGTTCAGGTTAGTGTGTTTTGTATCAATAAAAGTAAAAATTTCATTCTATATAATAGGATTGAAAGTTCATTCAATGTGACAATCATATTCTTTATATTATTCTATATAAACTGAATATGTGTTTTACAATCATCCTGTGTATCTGTTCATGCATATGATGTTTACTAAATAATCATCAATGACTCTATTCTATTTAATAACGATGTTTTTGTATGAATTGTTTTATGGTCGTGTTTCGGAGAGTCAGTACATCTTCATTCGTAACGGTCTCTATGTTTTCACTCCACATCGTGTGAGTTGCGGTGGTTTCAGATTGCCAACTACAAGTAGTGAGATTGCGGACACAACACAACCGACCTCTACATAATATAGGCTAAACGGACATAATACATGCAGCACAGACATAATCCTACATAAAAGTTCTTTCAGTTCATATAACAGACTTTAATTTATTTTAATAGACATTTATATTAGAACAATTACAAGTTTTATAAATTCTATAACATGCGATAATAATACTGGAAATAACATGACAATCGGATAGCATGAATCTAAGATTAGAAAAACATATTATTGTTTTGATATAAAATCTAATCTGTTCCTAGGCAAAACGTTTATATTACAGATTTCCATAAACAACTCTTATCAGTTTCTTATTATTCAAAACAAATTAAAATAAACTTTAAAACTACTCTTAATATCCTAATAATTGTCTCATACGTAAAACATTCACTCACTTATTACATCTTAGATGTTCTCAAGAAACTAAAATACACA